TGGGTTGTTTTCCAGCAGGTCTCTGCACAGATGGAATAGTTTCCAATTGCAGCAGGAGGGGCCAGAGCTGAGACTGGACACTTTCAGGACTTGATGTGGGGCAGCAGCTGGAAAACCCACCTCACTGGTTCAGATAGGAGTGTCTCCCAGCAGGTCTCTGCACAAATTGGATAGTTTCCTGACTACAGCAGGAGGGATTGGTGCTGAGACTGGGCCCTTTTGGGATCTGCTGGTGGATGATGGCAGAAGAGCTTATCTTATTGGCTCAGAAGGGCATGATCTCCCAGTAGATCCCTGCACAGGTAGGATAGTTTATTGACTGCAACAGAAGGGGCCAGAGCTGACAGTGGGCACATTTAGTATCTGCTGTGGTACAGAGGTTGATGAGCCCTTCTTGGAAGCTAAGATTCCCAGGCTGCTAGATATGAGCAAGCCTCCTTCTGGGCTCTTGCACGTTTAGCTCTGAGTTGGGACCTCAGCGGAGGGGAGCCGGAGACAAGCCACAGGGCAACTTTCAGGTTCACTGCCAAGATCGATGTTGGCAGGCAGATGAGCCTCTCCACTGAGGCACTAGTGTGCCTGATTCCACCTACAACCCCTGGCAGCTGGTTTTAGTTGCAGGCTCAAGGCCAAAAAGGGCTGTAGCCAAGCTCCTTAGGAAGCAGGGCCATTTCTAGGCTTCAACCTGGAAGCATAATTGGCAGAGTTGCCATTTGGGTGTCAGTTTGTACTCTCAAAACAACCCTCCTTAGAATTGGAGGATTCTAATACGGTTTCACAACCTTCTACCTATACCCCGAGGTTCTGAGAGACTTTGTCTGTAGATGGATACAGAGTTCCTGATGTGGTGGTGGGATATTAGGGAGGGATATATGGAGGGATATGACACATTTGCTGATGTCACTATAAATTTATCTTGCTTGTGATTTGGTTAAGATCCTTACATTTATATCAGGTAGGACTAATCTGTGGTTTTCTTTTCTTTTCTTTTTTTTGAGACAGAGTTCCACTCTGTTGCCCAGGCTGGGACGCAATGGCATGATCAAGGCTCACTGCAACCTCTGCCTCTTGGGTTCAAGCTATTCTCATGTCTCGGCCTCCAGAGTAGCTGGATTACATGCACCCACCACCATGTCCCGCTAATTTTTGTATTTTTAGTAGAGATGGGTTTCACCATATTGGTCAGGTTGGCCTCAAATTCCTGACCTCAGATGATCCACCCACCTCAGCCTCCCAAAGTGCTGGGACTACAGGCGTAAGCCACCACACCAGTCGAATTTCTTTATTTTACACAGTTACTACCTGGGTCGGTTTACTAGTTCAGAATAATGCAAATAAGGAAGAAAATGGGCCAGATGAAGTGGTTCACATCTGTAATCCCAACACTTTAGGAGGCCAAGGAGGGAGGATCACTTGAGCTCAGGAGTTCAAGACCAGCCTGGGCAACATAATGAGACCTCATTTCTACACACACACACACAAAAATTGCTAGGAGTAGTGGTGTCTGCCTGTAGTCCCAGCTACTCGGAAGGCTGAGGTGGGAGGATCACTTGAGCCTGGGAGGTCGAGGCTGTAGAGAGCCATGATTGCACCACCATACTCCAGTGAGACCCCGTCTCAAAAAAAAAAAAAAAAGAAAAATGCATTCTCTTTTTCCATCTTTTGGAACAGAATATACCATGTGAGAGTTCTTGAAAGTTCTAAAGGACTTATCAGAAAATTACCCAAGCCTAGAGCCTTTGCTGAGATAATAATTTTAAAACTTATACTTTTTCTCTTCCTGATTATTGGCTTATTCAGGGTTCTCTACCTTTTCTGAGGAAATTTTCTAAATTCGTATGTTTCTATAAATTTGCCAATTTTAATGAGATGCTCTAATTTATTACCATAATTACAAACCGTTCTCTCATTATTCAAAATATCAAAATATTTCATCTGTCACAATATTACATATTGTCATATCAGTTTTCCCACTTCTACTTTTGTGTACTTGTGGGTTTTTATGTATTTGTTCTCTTTTGTTTGTTTTTAGATATTCTTTTTAAGCCCAACCTTCCTCTGAGACCTCCCTCCTCCCCTACTCAGGTTCCTAGAAGGGCTCTCATGCTAAATCCATTGCTTTCTCCACTTTGTCCAGGTACCCAGTACTTTGTGCAGAGTTTATCTGCTCCAAATTTCTCACTACAGGTCTTGACCAGTACAAGGCTATATCCATAACCTGAAGTTTTCCTTCTCTTTTCCTACAAAAACCTATTTGAGTCTGTCCCATTCTCATGTTACTTTCAGGTAACTGGTTAATTCATTCAATGAAAACAATGAGAAAGAATGAAAGAGAAAGACCAATGAGATCACTAAAGTGGGGTTCCTGAGATAAGTCTTGAACCAGATCTGCCACCAACTAGATCTGGGGTCTTATCTCCAGACCACAGTTTTACTCAACTGTAAAAAAAAAAAAAAAAAGTTGAGGATTTCAAGATTTCCAGTCTCACTCACCTTAAGCATTCTGTAATTATTTATTATCTGGATTTTCAAATAAAATATTTTTTATTATATTTCAGGTTCTGAGGTACATGTGCAGATCATGCAGGATTGTTACATAGATATACACATGCCTTGGTGGTTTGCTGCATCCATCCCCCTGTCATTTACATTAGGTATTTCTCCTAATATTATCCCTCCCCAATGCCCCCAACCCCTGCTATCCCTCCTCTACCCACCCCCAACAGGCCCCATGTGTGATGTTCCCCTCCCTGTGTCCATGTGTTCTGACTAAATTAACATGTTGCTCTGTCTGCGTAATAGGTCCATTTTAACAGCTGTCTTTGGGACTTTCAATCCAAAGCAGCAAGCAGCATGAGATTTCCTAATACTGCTAAAAATGATTTGGCAATAGGATTCATTTAATCCTGCAGTGTTAAAACCAAATCTATGCTGTTTCAGTATCCTAATAATCAATTAGGATTATTTGAGTGCCATTGCACTCCAGTCTGGGTGACAAGAGTGAGACGCTGTCTTAAAAAAAAAAAAAAAAAGGATTGTTTTGGAAAAAGTAAAGTAGTAACAAGAAATGGAAATCAGCAAATTGCCAAGCAAAGCAGTATGATAACACTAAAGGAGTAAAGGAGATAGTACGAGTCTACCCTTTTGTATTCATTGAATGTCAGTTATAACTTCTCCCAAAGGAGACCTTGAATTTCTTAATTATGTTCTTAAATGACAACATTTGGAATGGCAACTCTAGTTGAATACTCCTTCTTCTAGGGATTGTATCTTCTTCTAAGAAATGCCCCCCATATCAGCTCCATACATAAGGTTTCTACTATGAACCTATCTCCAGAGCAACAGTTCATTGATTGGCCCAGAAAGGAGTGAATGACCAAAGCTAAGCCAAGGAGTTACTTCCCTGGATATTGGGACTTGGGACCAAGACAATAAGAGGAGTTTCCCTGAGAGTGCTGAACACTCTGAGCATGTAAGCAATGAAGCCCATGACTCACCAGAAACCACATATTCTGCCAGGTGGAGTAGAATGGTAAGTGGCAAGAGAGAAAAAAGACACCTGTGGGCAGAGAGAAGTGACGCATAGAGGCAGCTGGATAAACACTTACAGAGAAACAGATTTGAGAGAGATTTGCAAACTATAAGGCTACTAGAGAGGTGTCACTCTTAAATAAACGCAGACAGCTGGTGTGCTACAATAAATACTAAAGAAAAACTGGCTACTTTGAAGATAGCTAATGATACTCAACTGTGAGCAACTGCCTACAGAACCTGGGAGCTCTTTGCACTGGTATCAGTGTTCAGATAGAAGACCATGGCCATTGAACACTGATCCACTGAGAACATAGAACAGTGTGGTGACAACAAATAGAGCAAGGTCGAAATGAGAAAAGATGACCTGAACATGGACCCTGCTACCATAAGCTTATGATTCGTGCAGAGGAACATGTGACTAATACATGGACATGGCTGAACTGATTTTATATCATGCTCATGTCGACTATGTAATAAATTCAATGTAATTTAACTTCACAGGATAGATTGAGTGATTCATAATCACTTAAATACTCAAAAGGCATGAGTGGATTAACTCTACAAGGTATAATTATAGATATCTGAACCTAGAAGATTGCAAATGGCAATGTCAGCAACATTCAGATTTTTCAGAGTATGAATGAAACAAGAGATAAACAGTCCTTACAGGATGGCTCAGTCCTGTCAAGGTGTGGTCTGCATTCCTGTCCTTTAGTCCTGCTGACAGTCACACTTGTAAACACTTCAATGTTTGTAACTCCTTGCCCTATCTCCTTCCCCTGGAGTAATTTTCTATCTCCCAACATCGCACCCTATCTATTTTTTAAGTTCCTACTCAAATATCAGTGTGATGCTTTCCCCTATACCCCAGGCAATCTGAGTAGCTTTGAATCCTGTGATCAGCCACTTCTATGAAACGATTTCTACAGTTGTCACATTGCCTTAAATTACATGTTTACATGCCTGTCTTTCCCAGCTATGGCATATTCATCGCTGTACTCCTCAAATCTAGCACACTGCCCGTACTGAATGGTTATTGAGTGAAAGCATGAAATAATCCCTAATTACAATGCATTATAATAATGGTTATAGTTTTTCAATTTGTGACAAAATTAACTCTGCTGTAATTTTATATAGACATAGCAATAACATAAACTTTGGTTGTTGTGTGTTCATTCTTGTTAGCTGTCCATGCAATACAGCTATCTCTTTAGAACCTTAGAACTTAAAAACACAACCAATCAAAAAAACAGTATATGGTAGGTGAGCACGTTCTTCTCTAAACAAAGATACCTATATCATACCTTCACTTTAGGAGGCATGAAAGGATGAAAGAGGAATACATTTGATATTTTTTGAATTCTGTTTTAAATATATTTCTAAGAATCAGCTATAAAATTACAAAAGGCAACATTTGGGCAAAAAATATGGACGTGTTGCTAAATTTTGTAGATTGCTAATCCTACCCAGTTTCAGTTTCTTGGCCAATGCGTCAATTTGATTGGTGGGGTCAGACCCCATGGACAGGAAACATATCAGAGGTGTCCGGGTATCACTTTCTTCCCAAGTTTTCTCCAGATTTAAGATAACTGGTTCTGTGTACTTCTCCTCCAAAGAATCTGCAATATACTTTCTTGCTTGAAAAACAGTACGGTCTGGGCACCAAGACCTAAAAATGAATACAAGTTAGCCAAAATAAACTAAATGTGTTCATTTTATATTCTGTCTCATTCTGAGTAAGTAAAAACACACATTTAATTAGCAAAAGGGCAACGAGCTAATTCCTACTTTTCCACATCTGTGTAAGAGGAACGGCAAGGTTTCCTATCCATGGAGGAACACAAATTTAATTGCATGGTTTTGGTGCCAGCCAGGTATTGGCAAGAAGTAGGGCAGAGCCCATAGCAACACAGTATCCTCTATCAGCTCCAATATATAGTAGCGGCTGACCTGCCACACACTCTGAAGCTCCACAACATTCAGGGGAAGAACCAACATGCCAAACATGCCAAGAGTAAGTTGGTCAGCAAGCATTTGTGGCATACCATTTGTGTAGTGTGCACCATAGTAAGTTCTACACACACAGACACATTGGATAAGAATCATTTAATACTGACATGATAAAGCAAAGATAAGTCTCACAGACTCTTTTTTTTTTTTTTTTGCTACTAGATTGCAGGTTTGACATAGATCTAATTTTAAAATGATGGATTAAATATAGACACATTTGGTCCAATAAAATCAAGTAGCCCTTTTATTCTCTGCAGACTATGAGGTCAACATTAGTGTTGTTCTGGTCACTCTTGATGGTGACAAGAGCTACAAAACAACTTTTTCTAAGAAGTGCAAACTTTAGTGCATAACATTAGGAAAGATAAAAACGGCTTCAAAATAACCCTACCTCTCTTCATTTTTCATTTGGGGGCCTCACACCCCTGCTTTACTCTTCTGCCTTACCCACCCGTCATACATACACACACACACACACACACACACACGCACTCACACACAGATTTTTTTCCAATGTGGACTGTCTCTGAGTTACAGGCTACTGAGAAAATGTAAAAAGTGAAAAGAGAGGGGGATTTTCTTCTTTAATGTCAAATTTTGTTTCCATTTTGATAGCCAAAAATAGCATTATATATATTTTAAATTCAGTGCAATATTGGTTTTTTTCTCAAACACAATTTAAATTTAGCTTATAAACTAATTGTCTTGTAACTGTGTGAGGTCTGGTTTTTTTTAAAGAAATAAATTTAATAATAAATGATTTACGCTCAATGGTAATCATGAACAAAGTGAATAATAAAAGCATATTTTTCACACTTTTTGCTAAAAACACTATCATTAATACATTGTCAAAATACATCATTCCCTGCCATCATCACCTTTTTATTTAAGAACTGCCATCTAAAACCATAATCTGGGAGTACATACATTTCTTACAATATTAGATTTGTGCAAAAAGAATTGTGGGTTTTGCCATTACTTTCAATGACAGCAATACAGTGAAGTAAACTCATTGAGATAAAATCTGTAATTTAGCGATATTTTGAGTGATGCTTCTAGGTCTGCTCTCACCTGATAAGTAAAAGTTTACGGCAGGTATCTAGTGAATCATTATATCCATCAGGGATAATTTCCTCCTCTGGAGCATCTTTATCAAACCAGCTTTTCCACCCCTTCTCATTACGAGATATCTAAAAGAAGCAAGCCAATTAGCAAGTCACAGAGCTATATGTAATTGGAATATATTAGAAAGGATTCTAAATCACCTTAGAGGGTCATTCTTTACAGGTAGATAATTTTTCAAGCATAACACAGTTTAAACCTTTCTTCAGGATCAATGACTTGAATAATGTGGATATTACTATTTCCTTTCAGTTCTTCTTCCATTATTTTCTACATTATTTGCTATGATTAGGATCATGTGTCGACTGCACCAAATGATTGGGCCGGAAGAAACACAAATCAAGGTTTCTCAAGCTTGGTATTACTGTCATTTGGATCTGAATATTTTTATGTCAGGGGGCTGTCTTGGGCAGTGTAGGATGTTTAGCAGCGTCCCTATCCACTGGATACCAGTAGCACCCTCCACCCGGGTCCCAACAATCGAAAATGTCTCCAGACATGGCCAAATGCCCCTGGGGGTGGGTAGATTATCCTCAGTTGAGTGCCACTAACAGACCATTCTGATAACCCAACCTCTAAATGTTGATCTCTACTTAAAAAATAGTGATAGATGACAAAATCAAAACTGTTATTTTCCTAGTGATCCCTCACCTTGAGACCTAAAACTTAATAATGAAAGGAGCCTCTCCAAGAGCTAGTCTCAAATATTGTTCAGAAGCATGAAATAAGGTTTTAGAGCATGAAATCAGGTTTTTAGAGGCATTAAAATGTGCTCCCTGCAGCCCAAGTGCCATCAAGACTAATTACAAAAACTATAGATTATTAAGCCAATCCCTGCTCTTCAGCAACAAACAGGCTGGGTTCTTCAGACAGTGTTTGTAAGTGTGCTTTTAAAAAAGCCATGGCAAGCAATAATAGCAAATAGCAAAGGCTCATATAGCAGATACCATGTGCCAGACTTGAGGATTACACTTTTTCCTCTATTACCCCTACCTTTTATTGAGGCATAGAGAGTTTAAATAACTGTTCAAAGTCTCTTATCTATGATGTGAACAATTCATCATATAGGATACAGATAGAATATAAACTAATAATAAGACAATTACTCTGTAACTCAGTTGTTCCCACTTTGTCCCTGGGTCACTAAAAGATGAAGGGAATTTCTGAAATATTTCACAACTGCCATCTATCTCCTGAAGATTGCAGCAGCTCTCTCTGGCTGGCTGCCCTCAAAGAAACTGCCTGCACGGCAGAGACTGAATGTCGTCAGCCCTACCTTGCTGCACATGCACCTGTGCACTGCTGCCCACAGTGCCCCCCGGAGGCCTCCTCCACAACTGCTGGAGAGAAGGAGGCACAGGAAGAAAGTGGATGACTATTCTTCATCTACTGACCTTCCACCTGCTAATTTTGACTTGACCACTCTAAAGCTTCTGGGGTGAGCTGCAGCCACGATGGGTGATAAGATGACTTCCAGCCCCTGGATGTCCACCTCCATTTCTCATTCATTTTCCTGGCCTTTGGCTTGGGATGCCAAGGTCAGGGCAGCTGCTCTTTGAGGTTATTTTGTTTCAGTTCCTGACACCCACTCAGCTGGGAAACTGATCTTCTGCTTCCTCCTTTCCTTCCCACAGGCAGGCCAGACTAATGGTCACCTGACTGCAGGTCTCTGCTGAAATTTTGCAACCTTCCTGAGAACTGCTCCTCACCCCTCTTCTGGCTTGTCTTGTGGTGGAAGAGGAGTTGGATAGAAATAACTCATGATGGCATGGGAAGAGCATGAGCTTTGCCACTTACTGACGATGAGGTCTTGGGCAAGTACTTAACCTCTTTGTAGCTCCATTTTCTCATCTACAAATTAGGGTTAATAACCCCGCCCTTCCATGGGAGGGTTGTTGTTGCAAACTACCTATCCCATAGTAAGCAGTAATAGCTACTAGATTCTACATCATGGGTACTTAAAATCTAGTTGGCAGAGGCAAACAAAAATAAATATCCTTGTATCAATATGAACCATCAGTAGAGGACATGGGTTTGAGTGATTTTTCTAGTGGTTCTTGATGATCTCCCTTCCCAATCTCTGACCAGATTGAGATCACTTTCTTTTTCCAAGCATTTGTTTGTGCTTGGAGAACTCATCTGTGGTTGTACTACAAAGCTCTCTATTCATCCACAGATGGAACCCAGAGAGTTTATCCAATTGACTCCAGCCCAACCAGTATGAATATGTAGAGTCTACACAATGTTTCAGAAATGCCACTGAACAAACAGAGGCAGCTAACACAGTATGTTGGGTGAGGGATTGGTGATTACAGCGTGAGGCTCTGCCAACCTGCCGTCTACCTATGGCCCTACCTGTCAGTCAATAGCAGCCACGGAAAAAAAATTATTGTCATCTGACCCTGGGAAACTGCAGACTCCATCAGTAACAGGCAGTTGTAGCCAACAGACCCCAATAAGAAACAGCTATCTTTGCTCTGAGTTGCATGATTTTTTTCCAGTGACAATTGACTCAACAATTAATCCACAGTAATCAACGCACATTTTCAAATAAGAAAAAAAATCAACAGGTAAATCAGTACCTATTTCTCCATTTTCACCATTATATTTTACCACTAAAATAATTTTTTAGAGGGACCTCAGCCTCTTAATTTGACTCACATTCAAATCCACGCAAATTACTTAATCATAGGCAGAAGTTAAAGTATAAAAGCATGGATCGTCTATAATAAAAGGATCCATCCACTGGTTCTGATTCCAGCAGCAATTCAAACAGCCACACAAAATGGCCCAAGCCCGCCACACAGGAGGAAAACATAGTTGGCTGCACCTATGAAGAGGGTAACCCTGAGGTCCATCTGCCCAAGATCTCTCCCAGATAGCCACAGAGCCTCAAATCCAAACTATTGGGTAGATTTTTTTAGGGTGAAGGAATTGCTGCCAGGAAGCCCTAGTTTAAGTGGCCCAGGTGTGTTTGGGTTTGCAGATCTGCACTTTTAACCAGCCCTTTATTGCATTACCTGGTTCATAATTTCTGCAAATTGTGGAAGTTTACTCAGCTCCACAAGATTCAGCCAAGTCATGTCAAGGATCCAGCGGAAGGGTTTGGGAGGGCAGGCTTTCAGATCCAGAGCTGCTCCCCCTGCGGAAGAGCATCAGATGGGGTGAATTGGGCGAGCCTGTACTTCATTTTTTCAAATTTATTTTCCAAATAATAAAAGCAAGGTAGCCACATTACTGAAAATGTGGAAAATTGGAAAATAATATTACAGAAAATGTGGGGGTTTTTTTAGTACATTTCCTTGAAGTCTTAATGTTTTATTTACTGATTTATATCATCTTATAAGGTACAAATAACAACTCTGTCATTTTTCCCTGCAAAGAATTTTTCAAGTGGTTATAACTGTTTGCTTTTTAACTTATTTTAAACAACATAAAATTTATAATTTTGATATAAATGAATATGTTGATCTTTTCATGTGTGAGATTTTTAAATACCATTTGTTAGTCATTACTCCTCCAGAAGCTTGCCATTAAACACCACTTGTTACCAGATCAAACAGATAGATAGATAGATGGATGGGTTAGGGTTAGGGTTAGGGTTAGAGTTAGGGTTAGGGTTAGGGTTAAGGTTGGAGTTGGCATTAGGGAAGAAGGGTAGGAGAAAGGGAAGCTAGAGATAGAAAGAAAGAGGGAGGGAAGAAAGAAGTGAAGGAGGAAATGATGTAACAGATCTATGGGTTTTTAGTGGATGACTAACATTTAAATAATTTATCTATTCATTGATTGAACAAATATTTATTGAGCACCCTCTAGGTATTTGGTATGTTCCAGGCACTGGGGGTATAGCAGAGAAAACCCAACCAGGCCCTCGCATTTACAGAGCTTGAATCTGGTAGAGAATGAGTTATAGCATTGGATCATATTCTGAAGCAAATCACAGGTCAAATGAGTATGGCCAGCATTATCCAATGAAATACATTATTATATTTACAATTACAAAATTCCTCTACTGTATATCTTTAGTAATGTATCATAATAATTCCAGCTCTACTGTTGCTTAGTTCAGATGTATGCAAAATAGTGATTCTTGAACTTATAAATCTTATCATCTTCCTTAGGAACTCATCATTCCTTCCAGTTTCACAAATCAACTCATGGACCAAAAAAGAGGGATGAGTGGAACTACACGTCTTTGCTCTCCCTATTTAGCATCGTCCTGAGTAGCTGTATGAACTAACGTCCTTTTTTACGTAAACCCTTTGCTCCACCACAGAGTACTTGGGAATCTGCGGCTCTGAGTGCAACACCTTTAGAACAACATGTAAACCTTCTTCTCACCATCTGTCCCGCTGCAACCTGGAGACAGAGGAAGTCTCTCTGGAGCGCCAGTATTGCTAATGTAAGAGTCACTGGTGTGAGAAGCAACCACTAGAGAGGGCCATCTGCAGCTCTAACAGATTCTGTTGCTCTAACACAGAGACAAACTCACCCCTTTTCTTCTTGGTTGTTTCCAAATAAATGTTTTCATGTAATCCTGAGCCTTAGAGACACCAAGAGAAGAAATCTAAGCTACCTTTGTGTTTCCAAACATATTGAGCACCTAAACTAACCCAGCAATGACAGCCCTTCCCATTCCCCAAATATCCTGGCTCTGTCACTAGCTACATAAACTTGGACAAAAAATATGAATCCTTCTCAGTTTCCTCATCTGACAAATGCATGTCTAATAGAATCTACCAGATTGGTTGCTGTGACGGTTAAATATATTAATGTATCTAGAACAGTACAGAACCATAATAAAAGCTATGAAATCATTAGCTGTTTTTCTGACATTCATTCTCTCTCTCTCTCTCTCTTTTTCCCTGCTTGGAACGTCCAGGTCCAGTCCAATTTGGAAGGCAAGAAAAGAACCCCTAAGGTGTCTTTTTGTTCATAGTCCATGACAAAAAAAAAATAATAATATCTTTCTAAAATAACCAGGCAGGGAAGAAAGCTACATCCATTGTTCTATAATGCAGGATTGCCCCCTGGTATCCATTTAATTTTTCAAAGTGTTCTGACATTTTTGGTTGAAGAAGAAAGTCAAAGCCACATTCCAAATATTGCAGAAAGCAAGTAGTAATTGAAACAAAAAAAAATTGTCACTCTTGGAAAATCAAACATTTCTGCTATTCTTCCACTCTCCCCATTAAGTATTGAGTTCAAAATGATTTTTAAAAGTGTCTATGATCTAAGGACCATATTTGTTAACTTTGTAAAAAGCATTAAAAACAAAGTCATACCATCTTTTAAAAAATAATTCAGTCAAAATGTAAGCTAGTTCAAAACTAAAACAAATTTTATAATAAACCTTTTTGCTTGAAAGGAAAAACTCTTATTGCTGAGCCAATTGTACTGCTGTCAATCAACCTAACATACAATCCCAAATTAAACTTCTTAAAGCACTGTTCTGTTCATGCCACATCCCTGCTCATAAAATGTTCGATGGCTCCCTACTGACAACTAAATTAAATCCAAACTCCTCTCACTAGCTCTCCTAGCCCTATACAGTATAGTTCTCCCTGACTCCAGTTTTATGAAATGCGGTCACAAATGTGCTCACACCACAACCCATGTGTTCAGCCTTATTTTTCTGTAACAAATCTAATCCTCCCCAATGAATTCCCTCCCCATTATGTTGCCATGTTTCTCAGTCTCCTCTGATTTACCCACCCTCTTTCAATAACCCAGTCTCTTTTGGGTAGTAGCTCTGGTCTGGCAGGTTGGTGGGTGGGAGAGGAGAGACAGGGTGGGATTATGTCTTAGTGAAACCATGCCTCAGGTCTGCAGGCTACTCTCCAGGCTCCACATGCCTCAGTTGCAAGCTGGGTCCCTGTACTGTATCCTCTGCGCTACGACAAGTGTTATCTGACCTGTCGGGGCCCTGGGCTGCAATCCACTGCCCCAGCACCTGGCTTTGGTCCTTTGTCTCCAGGTACAAAGTTATCTTTCTCTGCAGGTTTTTGGTTTGACCTCCAGTCTCTGCTGCGCGCCAGTCCTCTCAACACCTGAATGTCACCACATTCCTACTTGCCAAGCCTCAGGCTCACCAGTCCAGCCACTCCCCTGCTTCCATGGTGGGCGTGGCACTGGGCAGAATGCAGGGGCATCTCCTATGTGGAAGTTTCTCTAGCACTCTCCTCTACTCACATCCCTCAGGAGGCAAGGAAGAGATGAGATCTTGCGCCCAATCTCCTCTTTCTATCTCTGATCTTTTTTCTTCCCACCATCCATTGCGGACCAAGGCATCAGGTTTCCCACTTCTTTCTATGTCATATGTGCCTCCTTCCCAGGTGCCATATTTATTAGCAGATGGCATTCAGGAAGCAAAGTCAGTTCACCAGTAAGGAAAACTTCAAAAGTATACTTTGCCTCCACTCGCATTGCACAGTACCTTAGTCCATTCAGCCACTATCACAAAATACCATAGACTGGGTGGCTTATAAACAATAGAAATTTATTTTCCACAGCTCTGGAGGCTGGGGAAACTAAGATCAAGACCCTGGCAAATTCACTGTCTGGTGAGGACCCATTTAGTGGTGCATAGATGGCTCCTTTCACTGAGTCCTAACATGGTAGAAGGGGGAATCAGCTCCCTCAGGCCTCTTTCCTAAAGGCATCAATCCCATTTATGAGAGCTCTGCACTCATGACCTAATCACCTTAGGCCTCATAGTATCACCACCTTGAGGCATAAGACTTCAACAGATGAATTTTGAGAGGACACAAACATTCAGACCATAGTGCATAGACAGAAGGCTCCCCAGATTGTGGGGGCCATTTTGCTGCCACTGCTGCCTGGATTCCAGTGTGCTTCAATGCCCCCCTACCCCTCTGCCCAGTGTCCTAAAACACCAGGGCTGTAGCCCAAGTCCAAATGAGGGCTTAAAGATTTTTGAAATGAGGTAAAGTAGGTTTCTAGATTGAGTAAATTCATTTGTTTTACTTAAACATCCCCAAGACCAAAACCTCATACATCTGGACACTCGGGAGTGCCTCCTTCCCACCCCAGATGGGTACAGTGCTCCTTGTACCATACCACACTACCTTAAGACATCAACTTCCCCAAGTGCATTAGACCAGTGAAAAAGTGTGAACTAGATGATACATTTAAACATCCTTTGAACTACCAGAAATAAAACCTGTTTCACGAAAAAGGCACAAAGAAGAAATTTCAGAGATTATGCAAAATAGTTTGCAAAGTTTTCCACTGTGGGTAATCTAACCTGAATCTGAGGAAGGAATTAAATGAAGTAGAGAAAGAGTAAGAAGTTACAGGGACTGCCTGTTTATTATAAATACGATGCAGAGGACAAAAGTGTAGCAGGTTCTATCACCTCGTAGGGTGGAAATACTCCACATTTTTCCCCTAGATTATCTTTCATTCCCATGGCTTTGGTTGTTATTTCAGTGCCCCATCTTTGTAACTGCCTGACTTCCATCTAGGTTATCTTTTCTAATTGTTTTCTGGATAGCTCAAATTTCACGTCTGTAGTCATCACAGCTGGTCACAAACCTGTTTCCTCGCTTTTCAAACACATGGGGAATTGCATTTCCCTGTTCTTTCTGAAGTTAGATGTGGCTGTGTGTCTTGCTTGGCTAAGAAAATAGGAGCGTAAGTGACATGTGTCACTCGTGGGGTAACTTTTTTTTTTTTCCTTTATAGAGACGGGGTTTCACCATGTTGGCCAGGATGATCTCGATCTCTTGACCTTGTAATCCGCCCGCCTTGGCCTCCCAAAGTGCTGGGATTACAGGTGTGAACCACCACGCCTGGTCATCGTGGGGTAACTTTTAAGGGCCAATGTACAGTCTGCCACATTCTTGCCCCTCTGCCATAGTAGTTATGGAAGCAATTTGGATTTCAGCATGTTGGAGAGGTAACATGAATGAGAAGTACACCTTGGTTGTGTTAAGTCACTGAAATTCTGGGAATGATTTTATAGCAGCAAAACCTGGCCGATTCTGCCTAAATAAGTCCTAAAATCACATCCAGCAATCCCCCACTCCATCCCTCCTCAAACCAGCTCCTTTTCCAACCAACCAGACCAGAAATCTCTACATAGACTAGAAATCTTAGACTCATTTCTGCCTGCTCTCTTGGCTCTTGTATGCATCGGTTTTGCCATTTTACCTCCCTAATCTCTCATATCCTTATCTCCCTGAATATACCCGTTGCCTTTACCCTGGATTGGGAATGCATTCCTGCAGTTGGGAAGATGATTAAAAGAGACCCCCTTGAACCTCTTTTCTTTGATCCTTACACGTGTGCCAAGTTCATCTTCCTAAATGACCATAATGGCACATCACCACCTTACACAATTCCATTTGTTACCAGATCTAGAAAATCCTTCCTATAGAAATCCAAGCTCTCCACAGGATGTCACCAGTTTACATGTCCAGCTCTATTTCTCAGTATGCCTCCGTATCCACCTTTCATTTTAACAAAACCAGACTGTTTCCTACAACTTAGATACTCCACTCATTCCCTTTTTCATACTGATCCATTTCACCATGGAATGTTTTCCTCATTTCTACCTCTTCAGTGTCCGCTTCAAATGCCACTTTCTTTTTGGGGTATGGGGAGCCAGAAGATAGTTGCTTAAATCATATAGAGCAAAAAACACAAGAAAAAGATTGAAACATTTTATCATGTATCAGACAGTTCCCCAATTCATGGCTTAACCCACGAAGGTATATTTTCTCAGAAACTTCTTTTATTTCACCAACTACATGTAATCCCTCCCTCCTTTGCATCTTAGCTCTCTTATAGCAGGTGATTCTGCCTTACTTTGGAGTGGTTTTCTTTGTTTGTTTTGAGAAGGAGTCTCGCTCTGCTGCCTGGCTGGAGTGCAGTGGCAAGATCTCGGCTCACTGCAATCTCCATCTCCTAGGTTCAAGCGATTCTCCTGCCTCAGCCTCCCGAGTAGCTGGGAATACAGGCACACCACCACACCCAGATAATTTTTGTATTTTTAGTAGAGACGGAGTTTCACCATGTTGGCCAGGATGGTCTCTATCTCTTGACCTCATGATCCGCCCACCTCGGCCTCCCAAAGGGCGGGGATTACAGACATGAGCCACTGCGCCCGGCCACTTTGGAGTGATTTTTAAATTATCTTTATCTCCATTATGAGGCTATTAATTCTTTTCAAGCAATATCTGGTTTATTCTTATATCCCCAAAGCTAGTGTGGTGGGTTTGCATAGCATGTGCTCAGTAAATACTTGTGTAACTAAACTGAAATGAAAATTCCATTCTTTTGTCTTCATAATTATGCCTTTAACATGGAGATATGCAATGAATAGGATTAACTTCAAATATGAAACACAAGCGAGCCTTGTCTTGCAGTCTGAAAAATCATTATACTCCCTTGCTGAAGGAGTGGCTCTCCTGCTAAAGAAAGCCATCACGGGCATCACTTTTCCTCAGTCTGGCAATCGATTCTCCTAGGCATGGGTAGCAGTGAATAAACTGAATGAAATTATGTCACTAAAAATCACAGAGCTGGCGCAGACCTGAATCTTAAGTAACCAGGGCAAAATGAATGAAAAACAGAAAAGAGGTATTAAAAATAATAAAACTTCTTTAAACTTTTATTGGAACCTCATTTCCCTACGGTATCACAGAAGTGGGTTTACAGTATATCAAAGAGCATATCAAAAGCAACAACCTCCACACAGCACATCTGTATCCCACACACTTTACCTTTAATCAGAGCTTGAAATTCTCTGTGCTTAACTGTCCCTCTCTGAAGGTCAATCTTTAAGGTCATGAGGAGTACAAACAGGAATTTGTGGTTTTCATATAGGCCTCTGACAGAGTATGTAAAAACTTCATATGTCAGATACTCAATGATATTTGTAATTCTCTTTTGAGGTAGTGGTGACTTTTCAGATCTGCAATACATTTTAAAAATCAAGGAAGCAAAGGGCCATTTCTTTTTTAAAAAACTTTTATGTTCAGGGGTACCCGTGCAGGTGTGTTACACAGGTAAACCTATGTCAGGGGGATTTGTTGCACAGATTATTTCATTACCCAGGTGTTAAGTCTAGTACCCATTAGTTATTTTTCTTGATCCTCTCCCTCCTCCCAACCTCCACCCTCTGAGAGGCCACAGTGTCTGTTGTTCCCCTCTATGTGTTCATGCGTTCTGAGCATTTAGTTCCCACTTATAAGCGAGAGTATGCGGTATTTGGTTTTTCGTTCCTGTGTTAGTTTGCTAAGTATAATGGCCCTCAGCTCCATCCATGTTTCTGCAAAGGACATGAGCTCATTTCTTTTTAGGGCTGCATAGTATCCCATGTCGCATATGCACCACCTTTTCTCTATCCACTCTACTGCTGATGGGCATTTAGGTTGATTCCATGTCTTTGCTATTGTGAATAGTGAGAAAGCAATTTCTAAAAGAGTAGAAATGCAAGCAAACTTCTAAGTTACCACTTTTGGGTGAAGGTAGTGAGGACTCACCTGGCCATGGACTGGTCAAATAACTTCAAGAACTGGGCCAGTGACGTCTGATACATGATGTTGACCATGCTCATCTCTGTGATGAGGAAGTAGAGGATGCTTCCACGGGTGGCTGCAGGCCTGAACTCCTCCTGAGCCGTGTTGATCTTGATCTCAGTTTCTGCAGCCACATGCAACTTTTCACTTACCTCAGCTGCTGTCTGCTTGGTAGTTCGAAGGACACCAATGAGAGATTCGTCATCTACCAATGAGCCTAAAGTTCAAAACAGGAAAACTGTAGTACACAGATGGAAAAGTTGCAAAGAAAGATATATCTCTTCTGAAAAAAAAATACTGTTAGTTTTCAACTTGATGCCTCCAAAGTCAGGAAGACTACTGATACAGTAGAATCTTAAGACACTAAAAAGCTTCTAGTCCAACTACCACCCAATGCCTGAATCCTTCTAAACATGCCAACTGACATGCTATCCCCCGCTCTGCCTAAACATCTGCAAAAAAGCAAAAGACCCATTTGATTGGGTCTTTGTATGTCTCAAGATAATGATCATGTCTCCAGTGGTCTCTGCTCTTCCCTGTGTGATAGGCTTTTCCCCCATTGTCATCTTGGTGGCTTGCCTTCAAGTGTCACAGTTTGTCCACCCCACTTGTCTCAGGGTGTGAGCTGACCTGAACACTTCACACATGGGCTGACTTGCTGGTAGTGGAATGGTACACTCTTTCCTCACACTGCTTTAGTAGAATAGTCATTGCTACAGAAAACTCTTATCCCTCTGTCCCTAACAAGAGCAAATCAAGGTATAGTGAAAATGTCTCACCAGGAAGAGAAACTCAAATTTTTAGTTTTGCCTTTCATTATTAATAGAAATAGTGCATGTTTATGACAATGAAGTTGGCTTTAAAATGAAAATCTAAGGAGACACTTTGGATGTACCGAGCTAATAGTCCCCGTATCTGCAAACAGCAGCACTCTGGCCTACGCTAGAATTCTGGATGGCAGACGAGTGCTGCAGCAAGGGCTGAGTTACTCTGACAGGCATGCTGTGTCTAATGTGGAAGTCCAACTTGGGATTAACCTCAAGGAAAGAGGTCTTCATCCAGACAACTTCACTAGCAGGAGCAGTGCAAGTCGGCAGATAAAAGGACTTTTCACTGAGCTCACCATAAAGGTACAGTATTTCTGGAAGGTCAGATTTGTTTAAAAAACATTCAGGGATTAAGATGCAGTTGGGAAGTATTCATTCACTGCTCATAAGGTAGCAAAATTCAGGTTGCTGTGATTTGCCTGCTACAGAACAATATGATATTTGTTTATTTTAATTTTCTTTGGATAAAATTTTCTTCTTATATACTGCAGAGAGAGTACATCCTCAAATTGGGGTGTGACATGATTATTTGGCTGCCCAGAGGAGAACCTATGTTTGCCATCGAAAGTGGGAGGTCAAGCTAAGTCGAGGGTAAGCTGGGCCATTGGTACCCAAGCTCCTCTGATGCAGATTACGTGTATCATAACCCATTGCAGTAACTGCATTTCAGTGTCAAGTGAAAGAGTCAATCTAAAAAAAAAAAAAATAGATTGAGCACATTAGTTTCTTTGGGGCAAGCAAATTAACCTATAATGAGTTACCTAGCTCTATCGGGAGCCCTTACTTTTCTCAGGAGAGAGCAATTATATCAAGAAAATTGTGTTATTCTCAGATGCTCAGTATCTATTTACTAATTCAAAAATCAGATTCTCTGCCTCCCCTCTTTAATGTCCAGATGGAAATTGCCTTGCTTGTTTTTGCATTGATAACATGACTATTTCCTAACATCTATAGTCATGAGGGCATTGAAAAGAGTGTAAATGAAATCTTATTCAGAATCCATTATTTTATTACTTCTTAATAACACAATACCTTTTGTGGCACTTAATTTATAGAGGAGATTATCTTCAAGTTCTTTCATCTTCCGCTTATTAAAAGTAACATCCTCCAAAAGTTTAACCCTTTCAGACTCTAACTCCTGTCATTAAAAAAAAAATAACATTGGAACTATAATTACAAGTTATTACAGCAAATCCAACTCACTAGTGTTTATTAACAATGTTAAAAGTTCAAACCAAAGTACCTTTTGACTGACAGAAGAAATTACTATCATTAGCCAAATCTATATCCATATTTCTGTTTCTGTGGAAATTTTTTAAAAAATTATGCCCACTGTCATTAAGGTTTCACAGTACTTACGCTGGCAGGCATGAGACAATTCTACTAAATAATTTTGCCCAATTACCCCAAGCTCTCTTGCCAGCTTGAAGTTTATAAATAGCATGTCCTGTTCTCTTGGCCCTGTTTCCATACTGCTTTTGTAAGAAATGCTATCTTTATTTGCATTCAGAACAAGTAGAAACAAAAAGGCACTGATAGCAAGAAACCAAGGGGTTACTCAGATTAAATGTGAGCTCTTGGCCTGGGACCTGCCTATGGGAGCACCAGGTACCTGGTTTGGCGCAGTCAGTTGTCAATACAAACCCATTTTCCATTTTATTTGTATCTCCTTCTACAGAGGGGCAAACTTGAATGTTTACAGGGTATTTTTTTGTTGCATAAAATGTTTACTTTGAAAATTATATTTTGAAAAAAATTCAAGCATTCAAAAAATTTGCAAGACTAGTACAAGGAACTTTCATATAGCCTTCACCTAGATTCACCAAATAACATTTTGCTTTATCACTATCTCTCTATAGAATACTTAATATTGTCATTATTGTTTTTGTTATTATTATTTCTGCTGAATCACTTGTGGATGTCACGTCCTTTTACCCCTAAACACTTCAGCAAATCTCTGAAGAATCAGGTCATTCTCTTACATAAGCATAGTCCAATATTCAAATTCAGGAAATTTAACACTGATACCGATCTCAATAATATTCCTTACAACAGTTTTTTTCTGATCCTATAGAGAATCACATGTTGCACTTTGAATTATGTTAAAATAAGCTGTTTTAAAATTTCTTATTTGGGAAAGTTTCTGGGAAAACTCCTTCAGAAATTTCACCATTTTCAGAAAGTCTTCCTGGACCAGTCAATCAAAAGCCATAGCACAGCCTTTATCTGTATACCTAATATGGTTTGTTTTGTTTTGTTAGGTTTTTTGTTTGTTTGTTTGTTTGTTTTAAGACGGAGTTTCCCTCTGCTGCCCAGGTTGGAGTGCAGTGGCATGATCTGTGCTCACTGCAATCTCCAGTTCCCAGGTTCAAGTAATTCTCCTGCCTCCACCTCATGGGTAGCTTGAACGATAGGCATGCACCACCATGCCAATTTTTGTATTTTTAGTAGAGACAGAGTTTCACCGTGTTGGCCAGTCTGATTTTGAACTCTTGACTTCAGATAATCCACCCACCTTGGCCTCCCAAAGTGCTGGGATTACAGGCGTGAGCACCACATCCATCCTCTAATATAGTTTGTATCACAATCTATCAGTAGGTTATTTCCCTCCAACTACAGTTTATGCATCTAGAAGGCAGATGCATAAACTTGTCCTGTTTATTTTTGTATTATTGACAGTACTTATCTTGAGGCTTTGTAGAGAAGAAACTCAATCCAATAAATAATTGTCAAATTGGAATGTGCTGAATTTAGTCCAATTTCTTTATTTTACATTTGGGAAAACTAAGGGACCCAGAAATAGGAACTGTGAATAGCAAGGGTGTTAGGCTGGTCTCTGCCAGTAACTAGCTTAGCTGTATGTTATAACTGCCTACTACCTTTGTCGTCCAACTCCAAGACCAGTGTTATTGCCATTGTACTTACAGGGTGGCAGGATTTGATGGGGTCATGAAGAGTGTGGCGGTATTTGCAAGGAAATAACGAGTTAATCATTTTCATTAAAATGGTCACCCCTGGGTGGCAGTATAGGAATACATGGACAAAATGAAATCACGTTAGCTTCCTTTTTTGTATAATATAGAAAAATAGATATCATAGCATAGTGGACTCTTGCTAAACTTCATAGCAGGACCTGTAAAGTTTATCTAGGAGGCTTGACAGGCTGCAAAGTCCATGTGCTATTATAGATGAAGACCCTTATTTTCTTTGGTCCATTTGCTCATCTGTAAAAATGTGGGTATAATAGTAGGATTGTTATGAGGGTTAATATAATGTTTAGAAGACCCTCCTGTGTATTAAATGTGCATTTTTTTTTCTCCAGCAAGGCTGCTATGTATATCTTAGCACATCTCTTGAAGGGGAAGCTAGAGAATAAGAAGAGTGAGTATGGGGAGCTCTGGGGACCTTTAGACAGTGGTGCTGCTTGACTTCTGGAGGTTAGTGCAGCCTGCATGGAGATCTAGACCAGCGAGGAATCATCTCAAAATAAACCAACGGCACCAATTACACCACAAAGGACTAACTGTCAATAGTTAGCAGCATGTGATCCTGAGAGACAATGGGAACAGTGAATTGCTAGGCCAGGGCCATCCTGCCTGGCTGCAGAAGAGGAACAGATTCCCTTCCTGGACTGCATAAGCCCCAGGTTTGTTGGAAACTAAGATCAAACAATTAGAGAGTCAAAGCTAGGACTGTGACCTTTTCACACCACCAGACCGGCCAGCTTTCAAGGGCCTGTGCGTAAGATGAACTGTCTATGAGCCAGGTAGGATGTTGCCTTTCACTGAGTCTGTTTCTTTGGTGCCTGTGTCATTTCCCGATGTCTTTCCTGTGTGTGGAACCCTGGATTCACACCTCCTCCTTTCTCTCCTCTGTCTGTTTTCCTCTCCTGTCATTCTTTTTCTCACCCATCCACTTCATGCCTTGCCGCTCTTATTATTTCTAACCTTGCCTTTGCCTTGAATCTTTAATTCTAAAATTAATTACCTTTAAACAGATATAAACTTTCTCATATTTTATGCAAATGTACTTTATAATGCAGATACATAAAATTATATTTTTATGCAATTATATTTTATGCCTAAAACTTAATGTTTTCTGAGCTTCAACTTAAAAAATAGTTTAATCTTACATCAGTCTCCTTAAAATCTTCCAGTCCTAAGTTGTTCTTCATTTTATTAGAACCCTCAGTTAGACTTAATTTCTTGCTTTAGTGCAAATTTCATTTAATTAAAAATAAAGGTATGGCTCCCTATATCATTAGATTATGGATTGTAGTAGTTGAATCTACCACAGTGGAAACAAGAGCCATTCAGAGCAATTTCTTTTTCTCTAAATTATTGTTTTATTGAATTTTGTAGGTGTCCCCAAGACAAGGACTAAAGATATGAGAGTCAGTATGCCTAAAGGTTTAAAGACAGAAGTAGAAAGAGGGGTGTGTGTGTGTGTGTGTGTGTCTGTGTGTGTGTGTGTGTGTGTGTTTGGTTGTAGGAGAGAAGATGCGTAATGTGATTTCCTGACAAGAATCAAGAATTAAGGCTGCAAAAGAAATATTTATTTTAACAAGGGTGAATATGATTTAACAAATTTTTTTTCTTTTTCACATACTTAGCAATTTCTCAATACATTTTAGGCATTTATTAAAAGCAGAAATTCTTTACCTTGAGAGAGAGATTACCTGTTTCTCTGTTAGAATGACTCTTCTTAGTAACTGATTCTCAAGTCCTTTCATTGTAACAGTGAAATCAATGACTGAAGTTTTAGCATTAATCTCTGGGGTAAAGGCAGGGTTTGGTAACTTTGTAGTAATGTAAAGTTTAAATGTATCCATGATATCACATTCCTTATCACCAACTTTCACCTATATAAATTCACATATAAAATTAAAAACAGCTTAAAGGACAGGGAAAGGAACTTGGGTTCAGTTTAGTAAAGAATTTGCCTGTCAGTGCTGTGAAGCTTGAATAAATTGGGAAGGAAAGTTATAAAATTTTAATCACTGATATCAAATAATAAAGCCTATTCAATTTTGAAGAATTTAGAATTGTAGTCCTGCCTGGAGATGTTTTTAGCAATGACACCAAGCAAATCAAATGAAACAGTTATCCAAAACAAATGGTGAATAAAGGAAAACTTACAGCTAAGATTTGACTTTAAAATTTTAGCAAGTACTTACCACCCCCATCAATTGTCTGTAGTATAGCTATTTTTCTCCCAGTTAAGAAAACTGTTTCCTACTATGGAAATTTGCTGTGTTTCTAGGAAATTTTTTTTTGAATTTCATAGATATATCTGAGGCATATTTGACAACAGAAAAAGTTAATGTAATTTTCAAAGAAAAATCCCAACTTTTTTCAAAAAGGTAACATTTACCTTCAACACTACTATTTGCAGCATGTTGGAAAAAAATTGGGTTTTGCTATCTAAAAATCAGGTGGCATCATAGAATTTTTAAATGACTTAAATCTCTGATTAATCTTAATTCTACATGTGATTGAAAACATCAAAAAGGCCACCATCATATTGTAAGGCACTATGCCTTCATACTGCAGATAAAAATCTAGGATCTTTTAAAAGAACTTCAAGAATAGTGATTCTACAACCTCCTTTGGCATATTAAATATGGCATATAAGATAAGCCAGATACAGATAAATACCATATGATCTCACATATGGAACTGAAAAAGTCAAACTCATACAAGCAGAGAATAGAACAGTGGTTGCCAGAGGGACAGGGGATGGGACAAATGGGGAGACATTAGTCAAAGGGTATAAACTTTCCATTATAAGATGAACAAGTTCCAGGCATCTAAGGTACAGCATGCATGGTGATGGGTGTGCTAATTAGTTTGATTGTGGTAATCATCATACAATGTATATGTATACCAAATTATCACATTGTACAGTTTATACACATTCTTTACTTATACAGTAAATATTTTTTAAATGCAGTTCAAAATTGTGAATGAGTCCATAATATCCGAGCAAATCAACAAAATTTTGTGCTTAGCTTCTTTTTATGAAAAAGAGAAATTCTACTCTCTAATCTCATAGACTGATGCTAACCTTCAGAACACTAACTGGGTTTTATTCATTTTTCCCCCTATAAACTCATAAAGGCTTAAGTATATATTGGATGCTCCATAAACCTTGGCTGCGTGAATTATTTAAAATATGGCATATAAAAGATTTCCATTATGAAGAAAATTTTTCTGAATAAATCTGTCTTAGTCTAATGAGAAAATATTCATTCTTTACTTACTCAATGATATTCATGAAATTAAGTTGTCCAAAGTGAAAAACACCCAATCAGAAATGCTGTTATAAAACCAAAGAAACCGAAAGGTAGAGAATAACACCAATGAAAAATGAAACCCTTATACATATTGAAAACAATTCATGTTATCACCAACATTTGAGAACAATATTCCATTGCTTACAACAAAGCCAATGAGTGTAGACTGAAAATAAAGAGATAAATGAACAAATCAATCTCTATAGCCTTTATTAAAATATCATTTTCCCCAGGGAAGAAACCTGGGTTATTTTGTTAAAATGTATACATATGTGGCTTGCAAAACCATATCAAGAGTTGCTTAAACATATATATATATATATATTGTGTGCTGCACTAATATATAAAACCAGACAATGTGTTTCCTTAATGTTATTTAGTTTCAGCTAAATGACTACTCTTATCAAAATATTGCCCCCCACCAGTAATTTTTATATACTATAAAAATTAAAGAAACATTGACATATCAGTTTGGAAATAGTTTTTTTCCAATGTACAAGTACTACTGTCTAAAGGAAATTGCATTTGCTGCTATGCTCAAAAAGATAAGTAGATGTCACCATTGTTCTTTTCTTTCTTAATTTTTTTTTTTTTTTTTTTTTTACAAAGCTCACCTTGAAAGTCGTGCCAGATTTAATAAAATTCTTTTCTAATACATTATCCAAGGCTGGATCCAGCTCTTCACGAATGTCCTCAATGAGAAGAGGTCGGCCCAAGGAAAGGCTGTCCTCCAAGTGTGTGCGGAAATATTTATGGTTCAGAGATGTCACCTAAACAGAAAGAACCCTCGTTGGTTTACCAGTGTTACGAACAATGTGCCCATCACTAAGGGAAACCAAGAGATTTATTGGACAGGTAACCAAGAATTTTAAGGGTAATATAGGAATGCTTACCTTAAAAAATTAAAGCAACACACGAAAATTAATTTCTGAAACATGGCGAGTCATGATTTTGTTGAATGGAGTCTGGATGTGTAATGGGGTCTCTCTAATCAAAAGAGAAGCAGCAAGGGGCATTGCTTTTATGGAATGTCAGGGTTCTGCTCCTGACAGACGGAAGAGAATAGTCAAGGATAAATTCTTTCAAACTTATATAGCTATAATTGCTCAGAGAAAGCAAAGCAACTTGCATATTTGGATATTCATTTATTTTCTCAAGACCCCTATGAGATGAACAAGTGATAAAAAGTAAACGAAAGAATATCAGAAACGATGTATTGAGTCGCACTGAGGGTCTATCCATGTATTCTGTCTCCTATTGGCACTGGGAAAAAATTAATACTTTCTATAAAGTCAACCTAAAAGACTATACATTCACTTTATATATGCTTACATTTTTTAAAACTAAAATTCTGAATTCCTGGTTAGGTCCTCCATGTTTAAATTGATGTGTTTGTTATTAGTTAAAATAGACATACTATACTGGTTGATCTCTGCATGAACCAATTGGATTTAAACTCTTACTTCGCCTAGGATCCCTCCCTGCCCCCTGCCTAATTGTGATTTCCAAAGGCTCATTTCTCAACTTTTTGTATCCTATCTTCCGAATCCAACTAATACCTTACGCTATTGTGGGTGCAGATCATAAGACACAAGGAAGAATCCACTGGGACAACAGGTGATTAGGAGACTAGAATTAAATATAGCTCTCTCAATTACTAAGATAAAAAGAAGATATAAAATGTAAAAATTAATTCAGCCTACTTTTGTCCTGTTTTGATTAAAAAGGAAATAACTAAAAAAAAAAAAAATTTTTGGCCAGGCACGGTGGCTCATACATGTAATCTCAGTACTTCAGGAGGTCAAGGTGGTGGATCACCACCTTGGTGGTGAGTTTGAGACCAGGAGTTTGAGACCAGCCTGACCAACATGCTGAAACCCTGTCTCTACTAAAAATACAAAAATTAGCCAGATGTGGTGGCACATGCCTGTAAGCCCAGCTACTCAGGAGGCTGAGGTTCAATTGCTTGAACCTGGAAGGCGGAGGCTGCAGTGAGCCAAAATTGCACCATTGCATTCCAGCCTGGATGACAGAGCAAGACTCCATCTAAAAAATAAAAAATAAATAAAAAAGATTCACACATAAAGGAAGTTGTTTCCCTGGATAAATAGCTTTCTTTATACAAATAATGTGCTGTAAAGGCCTTCTGATAAGTTAATAAAGTAAATGAATCTAAACAAAGAGCTTTAACAAACTGAATAAACAAGGTGAAGAAAAGCACCAGTAGGACTATATTTGCTTATATCCTGTTTTATTTCTCAAGGGGTAAGTTCTATTTTTGTGATTTCTTTCCCAAGTAAGGAGATAATTATCTTCAATCATCCTCAATGTATTTTATAAACTTGAAATAATATTTTAGAATTATAATTTCGGGTTTGTTTCACTTGATTTTTCTTGTGAAACACTTTGTGGTAGCTACCACCAGAGCCTGATTCACCTGCACGAAGACTGGTATTGGGTCTTTACAAGGTGGCCAATGAATTCCTGACAGGGAGGCTTGGTAAATGCATTCTCATTCCACAAGTCAGAGCTGTAAGTCCTGGACATGGCACTGAAGGTAGCCTTGGCAAAGCTGTCAAGGTTGAGCACAGCCCTGGGCATATAAAGCATGCTTTGTTTTTTGTTTGCATGTGTTTGTACATGTGCTTATCCACATACTCAGAAAATAATGCTATCTGAGTAAGGAGAATACAATTCGATCTGTTTCCACCTCAGCAGTAGATGGCTTTTAAAATAAGCAAATGTCTCAGGCATATTTCTGTTCCTTCAAGAAGGTTCCTAGGACTGGGTTCCATCAGGAAGGACATTACTGAAAACCATCAGTGAATGTAATCCTGAAATGGAGAGACAAAGCTATGGTGAGAAAAAATAGCAGCATTCATGGCCAAGTGATACAGGAGATTGCACTGAGCTAAGGATGTGTAGGCAAGGTTCTAGGAATAAGATTAGCAGGGAGATTGACAGCCAGGGGAGTCAAGGGGAATGGGGCCAGGGACAAGTTATAGTTGACCTGGCTACAGAAACTAAGAACAGAAGTGTTCTGGTATACCACATTTGTGCACTCCTGAAAATGTGGCTACTAAGAAGCTCTGTGGAAATGAACACTACTTCTTTTATCTATTCTCTTCTGTTTACACGGCTTAGTTCATTCTAGGATTTCCCTGGATTTTTTTCAGTAAACATAGACTGACATATTGTGTTCTGGAGTATTGATGAGGTAGGGTACTTAGGTATGCTTCCCAGCACTAGGCTGTATCCACTTGCATGAGAAGCACTGATCTCAGGAGGAAATCTTTCAATATTCCACCACTAAATATGATGTTTGTTATGGCTTTTTGTAAAAAGAAACTCTATCTGATTAAGGAAGATCCCTCCCAGTTTGCTGGAAATGTTATCATGAATGGGCATTGAATTTTACCAAGTGCTTTTTTTTTTTTTTTTTTTAACCTATCAAGATGACCACAAGATTTTCCTGGTTCTTTTTTTCCATAATGGTGACACACTTTGATTAATACACTTAAATTCAATAAATATCAGAATTCCTACTCAAAAAGAGCAGTGCAGAACATGTACAGATGAATAAAACTTGGCCAAAAAGGAGTTCATGGTACAGTAGAAGTAAAAGATAAATGTGCAAAGGACAGCAATTTAAGACAGATTCGAAGTCCACAACAGAAGTGCAAACAAGACATTGTGAGGATTCAGAACAGGCTATATTGAGCTGGGCACACAGAAAAATCTTGATGGAGGTAGTGGTGGATGTGGACTTTGAAGAATAACTGAGATTTTTATCTGGGATATAAGTGGAGGTTGGAGAAAGACATTTGGTTAGCAGAAATAGTATAAGCAAGTAGGTTAACTCTGGGAACACTGAATATCCCACCTTGGTAGTTGAATTAAAATATTAATAATAACAGAATCCCTAAGGGAATCAGGAATGTTAGAGTCCTGCCCTTGTCTACTCCTACCTTAAAATTAACACCTTATTAGATGCCAGCCCCAAAAACAGACTCAGTAAGCTACACAGCACCAAGACCCTGAGCAAGGTTGACATGAATGCTCTTGAACTGAGGGATCTCAATATTCTGTTTGCCACTTTCTGATAAGCTCAAACCCAAAGCCCAGAACAAAAGCCACATTCAAATTTAGCAAAAGCAATGGTCTCAGGGAAGTGTACAAAGAGAGGGGGAGGGAGGATCCAAAGAGAGTACAAAAGAGAAAAGAATCAGAGCTGTCACCCCAAATTGCTGTTACAAAACTCAAGAGTGTGAATTAGCAAACATTTGTCATGGAGATGACAACTTTATGACTGCAGATTCAACTGAAATTTTGAAAAAGTTTCATGATTTCAAGATTATTTTCCCATGCACCAAATGCTACATACCTGCAAATCATTTTCTTTTTCCTTTGATTTAATCCAAGTTTTGCCTTGAGTTTGTGGGTCTATGAGGAGTGGGTATCTGGTGGCCTTTGTCACAATAATGCCATTCTGAATTGAGAGATCATCTCCTGGTAATCCCTGCAGCCCCCACTCACCAATCTGAACAACAGGAAATTAATATCACCATTCAAAGGGGAACAGGAATGCTCTCAATAATTAAAAGTACCGTAAAGTAAAATAATTTAAAATTTGGACTTTTTTCCCTTTGAGACTATGCAACTTGTACTTTGAAAAAAGCAAACTTGTAAATGTGAACCCAATAACATTCACTTAAAAAAAAAATTTATAATGTAATGAATACCTTCTATAATGACCTAAGACAAGGTTTATCCCTTTACATTGTATTTTCATACATAGGGGAAACATAGTAAATTGATTGCATATTAAACCTGATTTGGAGTTAATGGACATATTAAATATAATGAGATGTCAGAGAAGAAGATAAGTCCCAAGCAATTAGCTCCCGATTGCTTCCCTTTCCTGCCCTTTAGTTCTGCCTACCTGGTGTATGGGTAATTGCATAATTGGAGATAAATTAGATGAGTTATTATATTGGCAAGAGCTCATCAATGACACTTTTGTGAATATTTCCATCTGCAAATTTAGCGTGGATTGCCAGCCTCCTGCCACGTGATCAATAAAATCACCAGGACAGGTGCAATGGTTCATGTCTATAATCCCAGAATTTTGGGAGGCCTGGGGGTTCACCTGAGCCCAGGAATTTAAGGCTGCAGTGAGCTATGATCATACCACTGCACTCCAGTCTGGGCTACAGAGTAAGACTTTGCCTCTAAAATAAAATAAAATAAAATAAAATAAAATAAAATAAAATAAAAATCAGAGATCCAATGAACCAACCAGACTCCACCTTTGTTAAATTATCCCAGTACCTCCAAAGGCCATGATTAATAAAGAATATTCTGGCCCACTTTGCTTCACCAGTGCCCAGTGAGGATGAATTCAACGATGTTTGAATTGGAAAAGATTAGTTTTTAACTTTTAAATACAGATAACATGAAATTAATAGCCTGGCATCCCCTAAGGAAACAGCAACTGGAGAGCAGATTTGCAAATCAGAAAAGGAACTCATGAATGCAAATTGCCTGGAAAGCATTTATTACCACAGAAGCTCTGCAAGATATACTGGAAATTGACAGTGGCATCAAATTCCCAGCAAGGAAGGTTAGTATGAAAGGACTTGCTATTATTTAGGGTCAACAGAACATGCTATTGTGTCATTAGACACTAAAAAAGACAGCAAACAAAAATAAGGTTAATACAAGCATAGATCATGCCTACATTTGCCTAAATGTTTGAAAGAGAGTATGACTTCACAAGAGTGGTGTAAATAATGAAGAGTTATAAGAAGAGCCCAGCATTAGCAAGCCTATAACTCTCAAATGATCTTTCAGTTCATAGCTGTTAAGAAATGCTGAGTGTATGATTGCTGAGAAATGCTGAGTGTTTGATAAAATATATTGTGTGCTAAGAATAGTGACAAGGAAAACCTAGCCACCACCCCCCCCACCACCCCCACAAGTAGAAAACTACTTAGGGCGTTCTAAAGTGGCTGGGACAATACATAAATATCATACACTGGTTAAAACAATTCTTTAAGCGCAGGACATCTGAGCCTGCCCCCGTGGCTTCCTCATGAAGAATACTTTTTAATCTGTCTGTGATCAGTGGTAAGCAGGCACCAGTTGCCTACTTGGTATGTTTTTGTGTTATGAGAAAATACCAAACATCTGTTTGTTAATAATCAGAACCTGTTCAGAGAGAATAAATGTGTGAGTCAGAGTCTGCTTGAGGCTTTCAGCCTGGAATGCTGTCAGCATCCTGAGGCTCTCAGCTTGGAAGGCTGTTGGTCCCCTGGTTTGCTGTTCTATCTGGGTGTCTGCTACTTAATTCCTTCAGTGCTGCCTGGGTGGGGATCTCTATGGCCAAGCTGGTTCTCGGTACACAGCAATGCAATTGGTCTTAATCTGGAAGCAAGATTACTTAAAACGCAAAGGAACGTTTATACCACAAAGAAAATTCTTTTTTAAAAACTCTCAAGCACTTTCAAAACAATCTTTCCAGTTAAATGAAAAAAGAAAAACTTAGGTGAACCTGGGCTTCTTAGTAAGTAGGAAATAAAGTGAGATTGAAATTCAAATATTATGGGGAAGGTAAAACTTACAGTTGGAGGATCCACCAACATTGAAATAAGATTCAGGTTTTCTGTGAAAGGAATTTTCCGTGCTCTCAACTCCATCTCCCACTGATCTTTAAGCAAATAGTTCCTAAATATCTGATTGAAAGGACCAAGGTAGGAAAGGAATCCCGTGCACAGCAGAATATCACCTACAAGTCTGTAAAGAAAAAACACAAAGTGAGTCACCTGACATGTTTTAAGCTCTTCCATTAAGTCGTTTGAGAGGTCACAGTGCAGTTTTGCTTTCTTACTGGGTGAAATCCTTCTTTGCCCCTGCGTAATGCTTGGTTGCCAGGCATGGAAAAGACCCATGCAAAGTGGAGCCCAAAAACCGAAAAGTGGGTGGGAGTGGTCACATGTGGGGTGGTCAGGAAGCAAGAAAGAAGGTGTCCTCCTGAAGCCTACAGGTCTTGAGCCTTGGTACTGTGAGAGAAGTATCTTCCCCTCATCCTGTGCCTTGGACTTGTTCAGATTTCAGTCTTGTGTTAAACCACTTTTTCCTCCTCCTCCCTTTTTATTTATTTATTTTGCCATTTTCTTGCTCCTCTCTCGTTCCCCTCTCTGTTTTCTAAGGACACCAACAGATACCAGCAGAAGTTAGCCTTGCATTTAAGACAAACCACTGATCCACACTTTCAAAATCATTGAGGTGAAGCATAGAGAACTGGAGTGAGCATCTAGATGACTCTGGCAAATCCAAACAATATCAAAAGCACTCTCATACCGAAAACCCACAATGCTGAGCCACAGATGAGATGTAAAATATTTCACAAAATTTTCTTCACTCTCTAGAGTATTTCACATGAGAGTGCATGTTTTAAGTTGTAAGCACTGTCATAAATGATGGGATTCAGAGATGAACATATGGAAACGAAGGAGAAAGCATTTAACCATGGAAATGGACTTTACGGTCTCTAATGTCACAAAGAAAGAGTGATTATGAAGAAGACCCAAATTCCCACCTATTAATCTGAGCTTTGAATTCTTTACTTTGCTGGGTCCATCGGACTTTTTCTCCACTCAGGCCATCAATAAGAGTGGAAGCTGCCTGCATCTTTTTCCGGCACATATCAGCATCATTAAGCAAATCCTGCAGCCATAATGGGAGAATGTCTCAAAAAATCTTTTTAAGTGCTTAACACAAATATCCATTTTATTCACACATAAAAATACATGGGGGAATTTCTTAATTTGCAAAATAATCTAAAAATACAGTGTGCATGAAACTTCACATATTAAATGTTGATCATTCATAGTATCATGATTTTACCTCGTGAAATTTCAAGGAAAGCAATTTTGTAAGACATAATCCAAATCATATAATTTATCTTTTAATCAGATACATTAAAACAGTATTTCTATTGAATGTTTTCAAAACAGAATCAAATCAATAAGATTTGCCATTTCGATATCTTGGATTCAATAATAAACCTGAGTTCTTTTGCCATTTACAAAGTATTTTCTCCTGGAAAAATCCCAGACAACAGTAGCAAGCAGCAGCCGGCTTGTACCAACACGTAAGAGCCAATTGTTAAATTTTTAGAGTATTTGTGAGCTGGTGTTAAACACAGGCTTTATTAAAAATTAAACTAAGCTTACAATTAAGTTATATTAAAAGCAAAGGTAATAAGTAACAAAAGATTACTTCCTGATTATTCATATGTTAATATTCTCTATGCTCTTGAGGTTAAATCCGTTGTATCTGCATGGTGGAAATAGTATACAATGGTGTGTCGCCATGCACCTTCTCCCAAATTTGTGCTCAGTGGCATTACATTGGTAGTTTAAAATTGCCAGTGATGAAAGCATTTACACCACAGAAATCAGACAATATTACAAATCCAGGCTTTCCTCTCCCTATATGGCACGCTAGATTATTGAACATTTACCAGACCACCACTGCTTACAACCTAACTCAAGAGGTCATATTAGGATTCCCATTTTACAGACAGAGCTAGGAAGATTGCCCCAAACCACACAATTAACAAACGTCTGTGCTGGATCTTAATCTCAGTTTTCTAACCCTCAAATCAGTGACAGTACAACTTGAGCAGTGAAAACACAATAAAGAATTTTTAGCGCCAAAGATCCAGAACAGGTAAGCATATCGGCCAACGTTTTTTCATTATAACCATTTACCTCATTTCTAAATATAGCACGTACTTGTGTAAAGTTTCAGTACATTGTTTGGGGAATATTGTATATGTAATCTCACCATTTTCTCATTCATTGCTGCATCAAATTTTGCCTGTACTTTATCCAGCTCAGCTTGTTTCTCATCCAGCAGGGCTTGTGCCTTCCCTAACTCAGCATTAGCAACTGCTAACCGGCCTTCCTGCTTGGCCAGGTTTGCCTAAAAAGAAGATGTGGTTACTGTACTAGCTGCACGAAACAGTCATGATTGTAATTGGCAGATAACCCGAATTACATAACTTCTGCACTAGATGGGACTTTCAAGCTCATCTGTTTCAGTTTCGAGCTCATCTGTTTCCAGCCTTCAGCTGGGAAAGCAGGGCGTCTTGGAGATTATTTCATTATTTTTAAATGTTTAATTACTGGCCAGGTGCGGTGGCTTACGCCTGTAATCCCAGAACTTTGGGAGGTTAAGGATCACTTCAGCCCAGTTCAAGACCAGCCTGGGCAAAATAATGAGATTTTGTTTCTACAAAAAAATGTAAAAATTAGCTGGGGGTGGTGGCATGCACCTGTAGTCCAAGCTGCTCTGTAGGCTGAAGCAGAAGGATCGCTTGAGCTCTAGAGGTCGAGGCTTCAGTGAGCTGTGATCATAACACTGCACTCCAGCCTGGGTGACAGAGTGAAACTCCGTCTCAAAAAAGTTTTTTTAAATTATTAATGCTCAATAAGAAAACATGGAAAATGCAGCAATGTATAGGAGGGAGAACAAAAGTTACCCTGATTTTACTCAGATATAACCTGTGAATATTGTGTTAGGAAGTTGATAATTGGCATTTTGATATTTTTCATTTCATTTCATTTCAAGAAGTTCCCGTGTCCTTCACTATTTTTTCATGAACACTAATTGTGTGACTACCTGATATTCTACATGTTGAATGTATCATAATTAACCTTTTTCCTGCTTGTATACATTTCTCCACCCCCCCCCCATTTTTAATTATTGCAAATAGTGTTATGATAAATACTATTGGATATGTAAACATTGAAAGATTCTTCGACGCAAAATTACTGTAACAGTAGTTTCTCATATTTTTCTAAGTTCTACAACATGATAATGATCTGTGTCTTGTAAATTTCAAATAATCAGTAATCTAGACCCAAAGCCCCCCTGGGGTAGAAGTTCTTTGATACCTTTCTTATTTTCTTTCTTAATGTTCATTTGAATTTAGCTCCTTTTCCAAGAAAACTTTTATTCATTTAGATTTTCTAATATATTGACATATAACTATGTAATATTTGCAGCCTGGCACAATGGCTCACAGCTGTAATCCTGGTACTTTGGGAGACCAAAATAGGAGTATTGCTTACACCCAGGAATTCAAGGCTACAGTAAGACATGATTGCATCACTGCACTCCGACCTGGGGGACAGAGTGAAATCCTGTCTCCTAAAAAAAATGCTTTGTAATTATTTAAATCTTCACATCTAGAATTCTATGAGTTTATCTTTCTATTTTCATTTGTTTTTATTTTCTTCTTGATTAGATTTTCCAGGAAAATTTCTTAGAGTTTGTTTTTTGTTGTTGTTGTTTTGTTTTGTTTGCAAAGCGTAGGTTCTTAGATTTGCTCATTAATTCTGCTGCTTTTCTCTTTCCTAATTTTTAATGTTATTTTTATTAGCTCTATTCTGTTTTCCTTAAATTTTGTGTGTATGTATGCTTATAAGTGAGTATATACTTTAACTCTTAAGTGTACTGTTTAGTTTCTTTGATCCATTTGAGGGCCAAGAATGTACCATTTTGTCCATATCATGAAAGCTTTGGTAACTAGCTTATTTTCATCATTTTCTAATTAGGAACGACGGACTTCTTTTTCATGTAAACTTTCCAATATTATTGCTTATAATCAGAGAATGAGGCCGCAGGATTTTTTTTCTTTTTTATTTTTTTTGCTTTTGGGAATTTAATCAAGGTTTTTTTTGGCATTGAATTTAATCAATTTTTGTAAATGTTTCTTGTACTCAAGAAATAACTTCATATTCTTTGTTTACACTGAAGAAAGTCCAATGTAGTTATTCAACCTGAAAAATAATATCATGTAAAATTTCTATATAATTATTAATTTATGCCTACTGAGGACTGGCTCTATAATTTACAGGACCCAGTACAAAACAAAAATGTGGGACCCCTTGTTAAAAAAATTATTAAGAATCTGAGGAGGGCAACAGCAGAGCATTAACACAAGACCCTGTGTGCACACCCAAGAAGCTGCCCCATGCCTACCGGGGTAGCCACAATCTCAAATTACAATATTCTTTTTGTTAATTTGACAGTGTGTGCCACAATCTCAAATTACAAATATTTTTTTGTTAATTTCAACTGAAAATACTAACGGGTTTGGTTTGTATAATTTGATACTACCTTATTTATTGCATGACACATAATTTTAATTAAGTCTTCACTATGAATCATAATTTTTATCAATAAAGAATAGTCCTACTCTAATGCGGGTGTATGTTTTCTTTTTCTTAAATTCTACATTTACTGTAAGATTCCTCCCTTAGAATCTTTTTGAGTGTGTTTTCTATATTTTTCCTATCATTTCTGTTTGTTAAAACTTTGTATTTTAAATTGATTTTCTATTTTTCTCAAAGTTTCTCATGCACAGATTTTAAAGAGGCAGCCATTTCTCTAAGTCTTATTATGAAAAACAGTAACCTCCTGCCCACCTGCTCATCATTATCCAATCCACAGAGCAACCACTTATATACTTTTAGCTTTGTGGGGGTGGGGGATTGGGATGGGTCCCTGGAGGCAGTGTATATCTGAGTAATACATTTCACGAATCCTTGCACTCCTAAGAATATCATTCTGTTCCCTCATACATGAAGATCAGCTTTCCCCATTACTGAATGCTTGGACCTCAGCATTTTCCTCCTCAAAACTCTGCATATGTTTTTTTCATTATCTTCTAGTATTTAGGGTTGTGGGAAATCTGCAACATCTTATTTTGTTCTTTGTAAACAACCTTTTAGGTTTTCTTTGATTGTTTCTTAGATTGCATGTAAGGTTCTCTTTCTGTCTTTGAAATTTAAAACATTTCTAGGTGTCGAACCTAGTTTTTATAAATTTTGTTTGAAATACAGTAATCAAATTCAACCTCCAAACCTAATCTCCAAACTTCAAAAAGATGGCAAGTTTTTCTTCTTATGACAGTTTGATTATTATTCCCAAGAAATTCATTTCCTGTGTAAGTTAACACATTGGTTTCAGTTGCTTGTCTGCATTGTCAAGAAACATGTAACAGATACAAAAAAGAAGGAGAAACTTTGAAAGGACATAGAGAAAAAAGAAAAATTTGGTAACAGGGACATCTACCTTTATTGGTCTAAACTATGCATTGTCTTTTAATAGCAGTAATACTGATGATTGATTTTATGAAACATTGATTTACTGGGAGAAGGAGGGAAACTTTTACCTTCAGAGGCAACACTTCTCTATTGATGCCATAAAATATTGCCATCGCAAGTGTCCAAGACAGGAGACCAGCCACATTCCCACAGACTTTTTTGGCACTTTCAAAAGTATAATCATCCATATTAAAATATGGCTGTAGTAACTCAACAGTCTCTTCATTTATAGTGTCTTTAGGGAACTGCTGAAGGTTCCACAGGAATCCTGTTGCACTCATCAACTGAAAAATAGTATTATAACCTGTAAGTTCTGGCAGAAAATAAACACTTTCTTCTAAATATGTACTTCTAAATTGAATTTTCTCAAAGAAGTACATTCGATTTGCTCTAAATATACAAATTGAGACTATTGACAGTAGCCAGCCTAAATCTGTAAATCACAAATTGTCTTCTGGATTCCATGTGGAAAGAGTAAAGAAGAAAAGCTATGCAGTTTTCTTTCTGGTAAGTGCATCTGAATGCCACCAACCACACAGGCCTCTTTTTGAAGACTGGGCTGGGTTGACTCCAAGGCTGTGCCCATACAAGCCACTGATTCTGGAAAGATTTCATGAAAAGAAGGCATTCGGCTTTAACATCTATCCCTCTTTACATTTCAGGTGAAACAGTGTAAGACAAACTTTTCAATACACAACGATCAATTATTGTCTGCCAGTTTGGTCTATATGAAGCAGATTGATATGAGCTGGTCTATATGAGCTGGTCTACATGCAGCTCATAGGATTTACAAAGACGGATTTTACTTACCTTCAATGACTCTCCCCATGATGGCTTGCAGCAAGGTTTTTCTGGATCCATAGTAACAGGGTCAATTTTCTTTTGAAATAGCAACAGAACACAGTCCATGATTCTCATAATAAGATGTGGTGGTTTTGCAAGTTTCCTGACTGTGGCAATATCATTTGGCTTGATAGTCTGTATTTGGGATCAGGAATTAATACTTTTTTTGTTGAATGGTATTAATAGTTATATGGAAATCTAGTACTTTTAAATAATTAAGGTAGAAAACTTTAAAACATATTTTCTCCCAGTTCCAAGATTTTTGCTTAGTGGCTCTTTCATAGTTATTTTGGTATTTTTGTTTGTCTGTTTGTTTGTATGTATTCTTTTTTTCCCCATTGCTCCCAACAAATTGGTTTAAATTATCACTGCTAGGTACTGCCATCGCAGACCTCTGTTAATAAGTCCCATTGATATGTAACATTTAGATAACTTGCATCTTCAAAGCCAAGGGTCTATATTATGTGCAGATATGGAGAGAGGATACAAAGCCCTGAATATCAGAAACCTCACATTCAGCCTTCATTTCAAGGGCTTCCCTGTCTCTGGCAGGGGAGGAATTAGAAGGAGACATGAGAAGTTACTATAATATATGGCTCACAAAAATATTTTTGAAAGTTTCTATCCACGAGCTGGGTTTGGATTAAGACACTGCCTGACCATCAAGGCAAAGTCTGGGAGACCATATGATCAATAACCTGTTCTAAGTCTCCTTTGATTCGATGATCTCTCCCTTTTGTACATTATAGTAAGACCCATAAAGGAAGTAGGGGTGCAGAATATGTCCTGGTCATTGTGAAAATTTTATTAAATGATTATCATAGATTTATTCATTCATTTAACAGTTGCAGGCATTCTCCCATATAAAACAAAACAAAGAAATACAGTCTTGTCCTCATAACTCCTAAAAATGGCAAAGAAAATACAATTACTCTACCTAAAGATTTCTGCCATGACAGAAGCATGTGAGTGACGGGAAAACAAAGGAAGGCCTAGAAGAACTGAAAAGTTTCTGGGAGGAGTGAGGTCTGGGCCCAGATTTGAAGAATGACTCTAGGCAATGAAAGTTAGGAAAAGCATTCTTGGCAGAGGAGGAGGCATGTTTAAAGGTAACAGACCCTGACCATTCTTCCAGAATCTTATACATGTTTCTGTATGACTGGATCACATTGTGTTTAGGGACAAAATGATAAGTGACCAAGTTCAAGAGATAGTCAGGAGCCAGGTCATCAACAGGAACAGAAGCACTAATATTTGTTGAGCACTCTCTATGTACCTAGCATTTTATATTAATTAGTTTTAATGCTCACATTTGTTCTTTAATGATCAATGAGAAATTATAATCCTCATAGAAACTCAAGAAAGTTAATATACTCCAGATCATATACATGTGTACCTACATACGTATATGTGTGTGTATTAGCAGTATGTATATATAAATGCGTATATATGTGTGTATATATCCATACATATGTATACATGCACATATGTGTGTGTATGTGTGTGTGTTATACATAGAGGTGAATGGCGGGTCTGCCTGCCTCCAAAGCTGTGCTCCTTTTGACTCACAGCTGTGGATGTATAACTCAGGACTTTATCCTAAGAGCAGTGGGAGCCACAGGAAGATTTTTAAAGGGGTCATGACATAATCTGGAAGGGATGCTGGAGAAACTGAGCAGGCTCTCTATGTAATCTGAATTTCTCATATTTTAGGCCATTAACAACTAGCATTATTTCTCAGTTTTCAGGAAGGCTAATTTGTGGGATGAAAATAATGTAAGAGGTGAGGACTTTAAAAAATTTTAGAACTTAGAAAACTGAATGAATTGACACATTTGTTTCCAGACTTAGATTATCAATCGCATTAAGAATTCAATTCAGTTTTCTGGTTATTTAATTTCATATAATGAAACACAATGCCTTCTAGACGCGTGTTGGAAAGGATAACAATCCACTGCTCACATTCAGGGCTGCTTCTGCTTCTTCCAATGCAGGTTTAGCTGCCTCGAGTTTGCTCTCAGCTTTTACTTTTTCACTATCAATTTCATCCACAATTTTTTGGGCTTTGTCTTTTACCTCCTGTACTTCATTTTTAATTTTGGCTGAAGCCTGAGCGCTTACTGTGACTTCTGCTAATACCTGTTAAGTTGAAGAAACATATGAAAGCAAATAGAAACCTTTCAAGCATGTATAGATATGAATAGTGAGAGAATATTTATTCAATATAATAGAAAACACAAATAAGAACAAATTTATTTCCCATCTAAGTTGTCTCTATTTTAAGGTGTATTAAAGTAAATTCCTTTGAGCAGTTCCTTGCAGTCTTCCATTTTCTAAGCTTTCCTTAGGCTTAGAATATATAAATAAGTATTTAAAACTTTCAGAAGAAATAGTATTTCCACTCTACAAATTTCTAGAAAATTAAAACAGTTCGAGTAAGTATAATAGAATAAGGGCAAAAAAAACCATATTAAGCCTTGTGTAATAACAATAAAAGTAGCTAATGTTTATTGAGTGCTTACCATATGCGTTAGGACTATGCTTAAGTGCCTCCCCTATGTTAGCTTACTCATTTCAGTAACTGGCTAAGGATCAAGACTTAAGTATCTATTCTTAAGTGACTCTTGGTGACTGGAAGCTGAAAGTCTGAGATTGGAAGGTTGTATAATAGATTTAAAAAAAAAAAAAGCAGTACACATATATCCCTGTCTCCTTGAGAGGACTATGATTTCTGTCCCTCCCTTCCTTCCTTCCTTCCTTCCTTCCTTCCTTCCTTCCTTCCTTCCTTCCTTC